CGATACATGGGCCATCGCACGCAACACGATTGACAATATGCCAGCGTCGCGACGCTGGCCCATCATGAAGACGTACGCGGGAGGATGGCAGAACATTTTAAGAAGAATACTTAGAAACATTGTGGTAGATTCATGCACGGACGAAGACGGCGGCAAGCGATATCACGTCACCGTCTAAGATTTTCATCCCGAAATTCGGATCCCAACTCCTGCTCACAACACGTATCCTGAGGGCCCCGGCCCCCTCGTGCTGCCCTCGTAGGGCCGGTCCCGCAGGACCGGCATCGCGCGCTCGCCTCGCCTCGCTTTCCTCTTTCAGCTCAGCGTTTCCGTGTGTAGGCTGCAGGAGTCATGCAACCCGCCTTGCTCAGAATTTTCTTCAACCTTGTACGAGGCAGCCCAGTGCGGATATTCAGAAAGTGGAGAAGGTGGGCGAAGTGTACCTTGTGGTTTCCCCTTGCCGCCCTCGGTTGGAGGTCAGGTGTGGGATGTGTTTTTACAGACCCATTGTCATCTGACTGCTCCTCCCCCCTTCTGTATCATCCTGCTCGTGTTCATCCTGTTCATCCTGCTGCTTGTCCACCACCTCCGTCTCTTTTTTCTTCACCTCCTCCTTCTCCTCATGAGAGCCACATGTTAAGGTATCATGTGGGTAGGGCGTCTGGTTCTGAAACATCCGCGGGTCGTATGCAGCGCAGAACTTCGCACATTTCGGTCAGAAATGTCCCAGGCAAGCCAGGGGTAACCGTCGAGATGACCAGATCTCGTGTTTTTGGGGGACCTTAAGAGATACGGCGACGCTGAACAGGCCAGGAAGGCGCGATCCTAATGTATGTTCTCCAACCTAGCCGATATTCCCACAATTCCAGGATAATCCTTCCACTGTGCACAGCTCGCCTTTCTGATTGCGCATACACGATGGGATCACTTCGGGGATCAAGGTCCGCTTGGACGCCTGTCCGCTTGGACGCCTGTCCGCTTGGTCGCCTGTCGCCTGTAGGCGATGGGCAGGGATGGGAGTGAGGGGTAGGATGGCAGACTTGGCACGCGAGCGCGCCTAGCTTGTCGCTTATCCTCTCTTTCTCTCTCTCTTGCCTCTGCCCCTCAGCCTTCCTGCCTCCTGCCTCTGGCACCCTTGTCCCCGTTGCCTCCGCTCCCCCTCCACTCCGATTCATGCTATTTCTCCACCCCTCCCCCTCCATCTCTCTGCCTGCTCATGCTCCCGCCCCCCCCCTCCCCTTCCCATCCTCCCATGAACAATGATACTGGCCACACATGGATTCCGGAAACCCTCAATCCAAAAATGTTGTCATCTCACGGGGACTCATTTTTGCTTCCGACAGGAGTGACAGTGTGCCCCCCCCCCCCCCCCCTGAGAGGTGTCAACATTTGCCGTGTTCAGGGCTCCAGGAGCAAGCCATGCCCTCAGTCCCTAATCCTTCTCCTCCTCCTCCTCCTCCTTTGGAATGCAGATTGGCGCTTCCTCCGGCGAAGGCAGCCTCGCTTTGCGTCCGCTGGCCTTCCGCGAGACCAAGACGCCAACCCTCTCGATCTTGGAGGGCCAGGCCCCTCCTGGAGCGGGCCGTGTGGGTAACCACATGGCCTGCTCCGACCCCCGACGTCATACGGTGGAGACCCATGCCAAGACGCACCCTGCTCGCCTCCAGGGTGCCCTGGGTTTCTCGGGTTTCGATGGTTCTGCGATGGAAAGCGTGACGTTCCCACAACAAACATCAGTGGGCGCCCTGGGGTCCCAGGCTTGGGGTTTCTTGTGAAAGGTTTCTTGTGGTCGGGCCCCTGCTGCACCTCCGACGCCGGACCTCCTCCCTGGTCGCGGCGAGGGCCCTCTCCGACGTCGCAGGTCACCACGTGGCCCGCCCCGACCTTCAGTCGGGGAACACAAAGTGACATATACATAAAAACTCGGAGGTCCGCGCGGCGCTGGACCCCCCTCCCTGGCGCGCGGAGCGCGCCAGGGGCGGCGCCGGAGGCGCCGCCGGGGGGCCCCGGCGCCGATCCGAGAAATCCGCGCGGACCTCCGAGTTTTTATGTTTATGTCACTTTTCGTTCCCCTATTCAAACCTCGGGCGTCGCACCTCCTTCTGGTCGCGACGAGGGCCCTTCCTCCGAGCGGCCCCCCGCTGCCCGCCGCAGGCCGTCCCCCCCGAGGGGCCCAGCACGCGGGCCGCTGCCGGAGGCCCCGGCGCAGCGCTCGAGGAAGAGGGCACGGCACGAGTACAGCCTTTCGGGGGGCCTCGCGCGCATTCCTTCGAGCAGTGGCGAAGAGCCCTGGCGCACTTGTAGTCCAGTCCAAAAAAATAGTCTAAGAACCTCCTTGGTGGTTCCCACGGGGTGTGCTTCGATCATTTCTGGTCGGGACTGTCTTGCTCTAACGCATGGAGTTCGTGTTCTAAGAACATTGTTTTTCTTCTTAGAACACTCTCGGGTTCTAGGAACACTTCGTGGCAGGACTATAGGAAGGCTGGGACGGTCGGTCCCTGCTCAATTCCTTGGATCGCCGTTGGGGGGGGGCGCGGGCCCAGCGCCGGTGCAAGAAGTCCGCGCGGGGCTCCGACAGGATCTGCTCATGCCGCTCGTCGTCCCCCCCGGGAGTCGGCGGCGAGCCCGGCGGGCAAGCGCGAGGGGGCGGGCCGCCCCGGAAGGCACGGAGGTCCTCCAGCCTTCCGAGAAGTTCTTCTCCAGGACTTCCCCGAAGGCGTGGGCAGCTTCGCCGAGGGCCGGGGGGCTTCTGAACAGCCCCGCCGCCCTCTGAGAAGGCCTTCGCCTCATCACTCCCCCCCCCCCCTCGCTCGCCGCCGATCAGAGAGAGAGGCTGGGCGGCGATCTGCCTTCTCGAGGCGCAGGTGGCCCTGTGTGGGCCCCAGGACCCTCGAGAGGAGCCCCCCCCCCCGGGCCTGCCCCGGAGCGCGACCCGACCAGCGCTACTGGAGCGGACGGCACCGGGGGGGGGGGCAGGATAAACCAGAGCTCGTTTCTATTCCTCCCAATTCGATGTGATTCGATTTCTCAGGAGGGGAGAAACACAGGCACCAAGAATCCTCGATTCCCTGGAAACATTAGGACAATGTGGGAGGTATGGGGGGGAGGCAAAATAAACCAGAGCTCGTTTCGATTCCTCCCAATTCGATGTGATTCGACTTTTTCAAGAGGGGAAAAAAACAGGCACCAAGAATAGTCGATTCCCTGGAAACACAAGGACAATGTGGGAGGTATGGGGAAGACGAGAGTCCTACTAGCCCGCCGATTTCCGCCGATTCGACTTCTCCTGACAGGGCTGCCGCGTTCCGCGGATCAGATTCATGTCGATCGTCGATGCGACTTATCGATTCGATTCTGGGCTCTCTTGGGCTTGACTTGCAGGTCGACCCTGCGACATCAAGGGTACCCTTGTGTCCGATGATTGGCGGCCCATGCCTGTGGCAATCGGGCCCTCGCAAGGATCGTGTGTCCTCTCGCGTGTCCTCTCCAATAAAGGGGTCCTCTCGCGTGCCCTCTCCAATCAAGCTCGATGGTGGGCCCTCAACGGCCCCACCACTGCCAGCGCGGACCCACCCAGAGCACAATGTTTCAGGAACGCCCGAACTTCGGGGTGGACCCAGCGGTGGCGCCGAAGGCGCGCCAGGGTGCACCAGGAAGGGCGACGGGCGTCCCTATCCAACTACTTCCTCGTCTTCGCCGTCCCCGTCCTGAGCATCCGTTGTCGTGATTTAATAAACGCTTCGCCCTGCATCGTGTCCGACGGCCCCCGTGCCCGAAAGCGGCCCTCGGATGCCGAAAACGGCTGAGAATTTGCGCCTCGATGTGTTGAAGACGCTTGAGGCCTGACATGCTCGTCGCCGTCGTCGTCGTCGTCGTCGTCGTCGTGGTCGTCCGCCGTCTTCGTCGTCGTCGTTGTCGTCGTCGTCGCCGTCGCCGTCGTCGTCGTCGTCGTCATCCGTCGTCGTTCGCCGTCGTCGGCGTGCGTTGTCGTCCGTCGTCTTTCGTCGTCGTCGTGTCTTGGCGTCCGTCGTCGTCGTCGACGTCGTCGACGTCGTCGTAGTCGTCGTCGTCGTCGTGGTCAGTCGTCGTTCGTCGTCGTCGTTCGTTGTCATCCGTCGTCGTTCGTCGTCGCTCGTCGTTGTCATCGTTCGTCGTCGTCCGTCGTCGTTCGTCGTCGTCGACGTCGTTGTCGTCAGCGTCCGTCGTCGTTCGTCGTCGTCCGTCGTCGTTGTCGTCGTTGTCGTCGTAGTCTGTCGTCGTCGTCCGTGGTCATTCGTCCGCGTCGTCGTCGTCGTCAGCCAACGTCGTTATCGTCGTCGTCGTCGTTGTCGTCCTTCGTCGTCCGCGTTCGTCATCGTCGTCGTTATCGTCGTCGTCATCCGTCGTCATCCGCCGTCGTCGTCGTCGTCGTCGTCGTCGTCCTCAGTCTTCGTCCGCCGTCGACGTCCGTCATAGTCGTCGTCCGTCGTCGTCCCTCGTCGTCGCCTGTCGTCGTCGTCGTCCACCTTCGCCGCCGTCGTCGTCGTCGTCGTCGTCGTCCGTCGTCCGTCGTCCGTCGTCCGTCGTCGTCGTCGTTATTGTCGTCGTCGTCCGTCGTCGTCGTCGTCGTCGTCGTCCGTCGTCGTCGTCGTCGTCCGTCGTCGTCGTTGTCGTCGTCGTTATTGTCGTCATCGTCCGTCGTCGTCCGCCGTCGTCGTCGTCGTCGTCGTCGTCGTTGTCGTTGTCCTTCGTCGTTCGTCGTCGTTCGTCAGCGTCGTCGTCCGTTGTCGTCGTCGTTGTCAGTCGTCGTTGTCGTCTTCGTCGTCCGTCGTCGTCCCTCGTCGTCGTCGTCCCTCGTCGTCGTCGTCCCTCGTCCCTCGTCCCTCGTCCCTCGTCGTCGTCGTCCCTCGTCCCTCGTCCGTCGTTGTCGTCCGTTGTCACTGTCGGTCGTCCGTCGTCGTCCCTCGTCGTCGCCTGTCGTCGTCGTCGTCCGTCGTCCGTCCGGGCGCCGCGCGCCCCAGGAGCGGCTCGCCTCCCTGTACGCGCGCCAGCGGTCCCTCCGCAGGCGGGCGGTGCGGAGGCGCGAGGCGGCCGTCGACGAGGCGCGCGGGCGCGGGCGGGGCTGATGGCGATGGTGATGGTGATGATGATGGTGATGATGGTGTCGATGATGATGATGATGATGATGATGATGATGATGATGATGATGATGGTGATTTTCATGATGATGGTGATGGTGATGGTGATGGTGATGGTGATCTTGATGGTTGTGATGATGATGGTGATGATGATGGTGATGATGGCGATGATGGTGGTGATGATGATGGTTATGATGATGATGATGATGATGATGATGATGATGATGGTGATGGTGATGGTGATGGTGAAATTCGGGTGATGGTGATGGTGCTGATAATGGTAATGATCATGATGATGGTGATGATGGTTATGATGATGGTGATGGTGATGGTGGTGGTGGTGACGGTGATGATCATCATGATGATGATGGTGATCGCGATGGTGATGGTGATGATGGTGGTGATAGTGGTGATGATGGTGATGGTGATGGTGATGGCTATGGTGGTGGTGATGGTTGTGATGATGATGGTGATGATAATGATAATGATCATGATGATGACGATGGTGATGGTGATGGTGATGGTGATGGTGATGGTGATGGTGATGATGATGATGATGATGATGATGATGATGATGATGATGATGATGATGATAATGACGCGCGCGCGGCCCTCTCCGAGGAGCTTGACGGCTCTTCCCCAGCCGACCTGCGTCGATCAAGGAAGGTACATTTGGGTGGGTCGAAGTACGTCCTGAGGCAGGGGGGTTGGGGCCATGTCAGTCCGAGTGGATCCGGAGATGACTCGGTGAATCTGGGACAAGTTTGGAAGCTCGAGAGAGCAAATCGATATACGGCAGAGATCGCCCAGCCATTGACCCCGCGGGTCGGACGAACGGGGGGAGATAGGGAAAGGGGCGTTACGATTAAGTCGGGCATGTTCCTCTACAGGAGGAATAGAGTATTTTTGAATTTGTTTCGACGATTCTTTGATTTTTCAAAAATCCGCCTGTAAGGGGATGCGCCCGACCTAAGGTTACGAAGCTTGCTGCATGCAGCTGGTCTTTTTGCCCCGCCGCCAGCCTTCCTCGATGCACTGGCGCCTCTCCGGCGCCGGGAGGGGCGTCAGGGAAACCAGCTGAGAGCTGACTCGCTGGGCACCCCCTGCTTCAACTTTAAGTGGGGCGAGTCCCTCTGCAAGAGGAAAATTCAAAAGCAGTCACGAAATAGTCTGGGGACTATTTTTTGTTTGTTTTGCTATTTACGCGCATTTTTCCAATATGTTTTTGATTTTTTGTCGAAAATCCCCCTGCATGAGGACATGCCCGACCTAGTTCCAACCCCCTCTTTCGGCCGGCCCGATCCTCCACCTGCTTTCACGATGGTTCGAGGCAGAGCCCCCCCCGCACCCCTGCATGACGGTGTGTGTGTGTGTGTGTGGGTGTGTTGTGTGTGTGTGTGTGTGTGTGGGTGGGGTGTTGTGTGTGTATGTGTGTGTGTGTGTGCAGTACCCGCCTCCTGGCACGCGCGTTGCTGAACACGACCCGATCTGGTCCATCCGGGCCTCCTCCATCGGTGCAGGACGCACCAGCTGAAGGGTGGACGCCGATTGTATCCGGCATCGATGCAGGACAAGCGAGCCAGCTTCTCCTCCTCCTCCCTCCCTGCTTTTGTCTCTCTCACTGCTCTCGTTGCGCATGAACTCACGCGTGGAGCGTGGCAGTTGTTACGTGCAGGCCGTCATCCCAAAGCTAGATGACGGCACAGCGCCGCCTCGCAATGCCTACTCCTGTTACCCAGCCCTCCCTCGAGGAAGGAGAGGAGGCGGCCTGGGAGCAATGGATGCAACTGCGAGGGGACCATTGAGCTTGTATGGGGTGTCCCGTTGCAGTATTGTCTCGCGCCTTCCGTCTCCGTTGGTGGAGCAAAAGGGAGGGGCCTGCATGGGTTCCTCGACCAGACTTGACTTGGTCAGGGCTAAGTCGGTGGTGTCCCTCTACAGGAGGAATTTTCGAATTGAGTAAAAGAATAATTCGGGGACGATGTTTGGATAAGGTTTCGACTATGTCTTTGACTATTTTTGATGTTTCGCCCCAAATCTACCTGTAGGAGGACATGCCCGACCTAAGATTTGACTTGGTCGGTCGGCCAACACATCGCTTGATAGACAGATCCGACGTCAGTGGCAAACCGAAAGCTGCACGCCTCCCAGCCTTTGAGCAGGAGATCGACTACATGAATCTATTATGTACCCCAGAATTGGCATTCCCGTCGAATCCGTAACGGTACGTCGAGCCTCCGTAGAGTTACGACGAAAACGCACTTTGCTGTAAATCAATTCGGCAGTCGATCCCCAGCTCGAAGCCTCGCTCCCTCTCCACGGAGAGGTGGGAGGTGATGCCATCGAGCCCAGGCTCTGCCGGGCTCTGCTGCATGCCATGGCGGTCTCGCGTGCTCAGGCGCGGCGAGCATGAGCCAGGACGAGTGTGCGGAAAAAGCCTCGGCTGTGTCGCTGTCTGCCCGTCGGGCAGACCCTGGATTTCCCAAGCGGCTTCCTGAGATCCGTGGAGGGCACGGAAGCCCTCGAAGCCCCAGGGGGCCTCCAGGAGCTAGGAGGGCCCAAGGGGGGCACCGGGAAGCTCCTTTCACCTCACGCTCCTGCCTGTTCTCCCTCCGCCTGCTCCTGCTTTTCCATCCTCATCCTGCTCCTGCCTGCTCGCTCTCCCTCAGTCCCTTCTCCATCCTCCTACTCTTCCCCTTGCGTCCTCCTCCGTGTCCCATTTGATCCACTTGGCCAGAGGCATACCCCCGCAGGGCTGGCACGAGTCGGCTGCGCGGTGGGACGTGCTCGCAGCGGTCGTCTTCGCCGGGGTCGGTTTCGCCAGTGGCTGTCTTCGCCGGAATCGGTCTCGCCGTGGTCCGTTTCGCCGGTGGTCGGCTTCGCCAGCGGTTCTGCGCAGGGGTCGGCTGTGCCAGCGGCCAGCCTCGCCGGCGGTGGGCCTCGCCGGCGGCCGACTGTGCCGGCAGACTCCCTAAAGGGGCGGTTCGGGCGGGCGGGTCGGGCGGGCGGACCCAAACGTTGAGTCGGGCATGTCCCTCTACAGGAGGAGTATCCAAGGACAGCTTATCAGTAGTCCTGCGACGGATTGCCATGCTCTGCTGACTATCTCTATGGACTTTTTGGTTTTTCCTGTTCCCCACAGTCCGCCTGTGGGGGGACGTGCCCGACCTAACCCTGACGGGTGGGCCGGGCGGGCGGGCCCTGACGGGCAGTCGGGGCGGACGGGGCAGGCACGGGGGCGGGCAGGAGCGGGCCACGCGGCCGCAGGGGGGAGGCCTTGAGGGGGGAGGGGCGGGCAGAAGCGGCCCTGTGGCGGGAGGGGCGGACGGGCCGACCCCCTCACTGGGGAGTTTTGGCTGGTCCGGCGGGTGGGGGGCACTTGAGTTGAGGGTAGTAGCTGTGATCTCCTGACAACAACTTCAGCTCGTTCCCCACATGATGGAGAAAGAGAGAATGACACCAGAGGGAAACCCCAATTAGTGGATGGCTTGAGATGGATAGCGAGAGATCGATGGTGAGCTCGATCGTGGGATCCCGAAATCGGCCCAGATCCAGCAACGGGGAACCTGGGAACCCGAAATCCGGGATTTTCGCCAAATCTGTCAATGTTCGCTAGGACCCCCTTAGTGCAAGCGGTGATTTGAGAACAAGCGGTGCAACATGCACAGCAAACATTAAGAACACGCGCAGTGAAAAAAAGCAACAACAAGTGAAACACAAATGTTGGTCCCCGCCCGCTCGCTTGCAAAAAAACGGGTAGGCGGGATTACAGGCAAGGGAGCGAGCGAAGCCGAGTGGGCGAAGCCGACCGCCAGAAAAGACGACTGGGCGATGCCGTCAGGGCGAAGGCGACGGGGTGAAGACGACCGCGGCGAAGCCGACCGCGGCGAAGCCGACCGCTAGCCAAACCGATCAGCCCCGCAGGGCCCAGCAGAGTTGCGCATACTCTTGCTCACCACCAAGCCGTTATATGGGCGCCTGGTCTGCGCTTGTTGTCATTGTGTTGGGTGTGTCTTAGCCCTGCATCCAAATTATTCGCAGCCCCTCATCGGGGATAGGGAGAAGGATAAACAGCAGCAGGAATAACATCGATTAGGGATATGGAAGGACGAGAGGTGCACGAGGACTGTGATAGCTGTGGTGATGGTGGGGATGGTGTTGCTTTTGACCATTGTGCTAGCTCTGGTGTTTGCGATGCTGGTGACAACGATAATGATGCTGACGACAATGACAATGATGATGATGCTGATGATGATGATGGTGATGATGACGATGATCATGATCATGGTCATGACCACGAATGTGATGATGGTGATGATGACCATCACCATCATCAGCATCATCATGCGGATGGGGGGAACTTTGGATGGGAGAATACTCTGCAACGCCACGGGCACATCCTGGGCTTACTCTGGTCTCCCCTCTTCCCTCCCCCCTCCCTCCTCACTCCTCAACGTCATCCTTTCTGCTTGATCCTCCTCCCCCCTCGTCGTCGTCGTCGTCCTCCTCCTCCTCCTCCTCCTCCTCATCATCATCAACATCATCCTCCTCATCCTCCTCATCCTCCTCATCCTCCTCATCCTTATCCTCCTCCTCCTCCTCATCCATGCCGGCGTCCTTCTCTTGCTCCCCCGCCCTCCCCTCCCCCCGTCCGTGCTCCCCTTGCCCTTCCTCTTCCCTCCTGCCTCCTCCTCCTCCTCCTCCTCCTCCTCCTCCTCCTCCTCCTCCTCCTCCTCCTCCTCCCCCCCTCCTGCGGGCACGGCGCGCTCGTGCACCTCTCTTCGGCCTCGGGCTAATTACGGGCAACTTTTTGGGTGGCGCCGCGGCGGCAAAGGCAGCGAGGTTCAGCCGACCGTCTCAGTCCCATCCCATCCCTCCACAAGGGGCAGCGAAAGGGGGGGGGGGGATGGGCATGGTCGGCGGCGAGCGAGGAGGTGAAGTGAGAAGGAGAAGGCCCTCTCAGAAGGCGGCGGGGCTTCTCAGAAGCCCTCGCGCCAGCAGAGAAACGTTTCAGAAGCTGTTGGTCTTCGGGGAGGGCTCAGAGCACTTCTCAGAAGGCTGGGGGACTTCCGAGCCTTCCGAGAAGGCCTTCTTCTTCTTCTGATTTCCTTCCCTCGCCCTTTCGCCAACACAGGGGGGGGCGCATCGACTCACGCTCGCCCAGTGGCCGCCGAGGGGGGGTCCGATGGATCCCCACTCCGCCGAGGAGCAGAAGGATTTGCTCTCGGGGGCCGATCACCGATCCATCGGCGGTGTCTCGCCAGTTCCGCGTCGTCGTTTCCCCCCCTGCCAGTCCCCCCTGATCGTTGCCCCTCTCCCTCGGAGGAGAGCGGAGGGTTGTCTCCGGGGCTTCCTCCTCCATGTGGAAAGGGGTGATGGCCGCGGCTATGCTGCGGTGCGGCCGCGCAGGAGGGGCACTCAGACGGTTGTGCCCCTCCTGCGCTTCGGGAAGCAGAGGAAGCTAGAAGGGGGCGACTCCTCCCCGGGCATCCGACGTCTCGATCTTTTCAAGCCGCGGGTCCCCGACCTCCCGACCTCCCCACCACTTCCCCGGCACCAGCTTGGCGTCCCGAGCCGGTGTTTGACGGTCCGGAGGCCGGGCAAGGGCCCCGAGAGGCCAGAGACTACGCAAAGCCTCCGCCTCGCTGCTCTCGAGACGACGCCCGAGGTCTGGGGCCTCCTCCCGGGACTCCCTGGCCTCCTCCCAGGGCCCTCTCCTCCTTGGGCTCCCCCCTCCTCCTTCCTTGGGCTCCTCCCTCCTCCTGGGGCTCCTCCCTCTGGGGCTCCTCTCCTCCTCGGGCTCCTCCTGGGGCCCTCTCCTCCCTGGGCTCCTCCCCCCTCCCGGGGCTCGCCGGCCCGAGCCTCCCCGGCGCTCGCGCCGCGCTCCCTCTCCCGCTCCCTCTCTCTCTCTCTCTCTCGCCACTTAGTGCGGCCCACCGCAGCAGGGGCACGCAGCGGATGACAGGCAGGTCCCGCGAAAAGGGGGTCCAGACCTCTCGGGGTCGGGCGCTGCGAGAAAAAAGGGTCGCGGCGGCGGGGACCTGGGCCCGCCCAGCCATCTCTCCGACGATCTGCTTCGCCCTGGGGGAGCTCCTCCCTCCTCCTCCTCCTCCTCCTCCTCCTCCTTCCTCCTCCTCCTCCATCCTCCTCCTCCCTCCTCCTCCTCCTCCTCCTCCCCTCCCTCGCTCCGCCTCCGCCTCCTCTCCTCCGCCTCCCTCCTCCCTCCTCCCCCCCCTCCTCTCCTCCTCCCCCCTCCCTCCTCCTCCTCCTCCTCCTCCTCCTCCTCCTCCTCCTCCTCCTCCTCATCTCCCCCTCCCCTCCTCCCCTATCTACTCCTCCTCCTCCTCATCCTCCTCCTCCTCCTCCTCCTCCTCTCATCATCATACTCCTCCTCCCTCCTCCTCCTCCTCCTCCTCTCCTCCTCCTCCTCTCCCTTCTCCTCCTCCTGCTCCTTCTCCTCCTCCTCTCCCTTCTCCTCCTCCTGCTCCTTCTCCTCCTCCACTTCCTCCTCCTCCTCCTACCTCCCTTCCTCCGTTTCGTCCCCGAGGGAGGCGCGTCCCGAGGCTGTTCGCCACTCTTGGCCTTACAGGGCCCTCCGCGGGCCCCAGGACCGTCAGGAAGCGGCTCGGGACGAGGAGCTCGTCCTGGGCGAGGGCACCAGGGTCCAGGATCCGTTTCGCTTCCCTCGGGGCCCGTTTCCCCCATGCTGGCATGTCCGACGATGTGTTATGATCGAGCCGGGGCTTTCTGCTCCTTGGTTGTTGCCTCTGGCGTCCGCTGTCGGGCCCCAGGGCCATCGGCAGTGGCTCCAGGACGAAAAATTGATCCCAAACATGTGGATTGTTTGCTGTGGATTCTGGCAAGCTTGCTTGGACGGAGGGGGAGGTGGGGGGGGGCGTGGCGAAGCCCGAAAAGAAATCTACACTTCACGCAAGTCGGGACTCACTTGCACGCCTCTTCGGCCCAGCGTTGCTTGACAAAGCGGCCGAGGGGGGGGGGGGGCGGGACTACCATGCAAGGCGACTTGCCAGAATCCACAATCAAATGAGCAACGGAAGAACACGGGGTCGTCTTCACCGACGTTGGCGCGTAAGCTGTTCGCGTCAGGTCGCGCGGAAGCGTCCCCGCTTCCGATTTACAGCGCTGACGGCCCGCGTAAGCCACCACGTCGCCATACCATTTCGCGTAAGACCCTCTTCTTTTTTGTCACCGAATTGCGCTGCAAAGGGTCGGAAATTCGGGAGCCGTGGATCGACAAAAAAACACACGCACAACACACACAACACAACACAACACAACACGACACAACACGACACAACACAACACAACAAAACACGACACAACACCACACAACACAACACAACACCACACACACAGATCGGACGACGTCTGGGCAGGTTTCCCTCCGCCGCCTTCGCCGCCGGCCCTCTTTCCCCCCCCCCTCGCGGAGGGGTGAGGGGGCGAGGGGAGAGGACGCGGGGGAGGGGGAAGGGGGGTACGCAACGAGAAGGGGAGGAGGAGGAGGAAGAGGAGGAGGAGGAGGAAGGGAAGGAGGGGGAGGAGGAGGAGGAGGAGGAGGAGGGAGGAGGAGGAGGAGGAGGAGGAGAAAGAAGAGGGATGACTGCTCTTTGGCATCCACGGCCAAGGGCCCCAGGTGGGGGAGTCGCCAGGGGGGAAAAACTCTTCGCCGCTCTTGGCCCTCCCGGGGCCCTCCACGGGCCCCTCGGGCCGTCAGAAAGCGGCATAACCTGTCCTGGGCGAAGCCCCGGGGGGTCCAGGACATCCGTGTTTTCCTCCTCCTTACTCGCCCCTCGGGACCTGTTTACCCATGTCGTGTAGGTGAAGAGGGCCGCGAGGGCGACGGGGGTGAGGAGGCGGCAGGGGCACGGGAGGGGGAAGGGGACCAGCAGGCTTGAGTCGGGCATGTCCCTCTGCAGGAGGCATATTCAAAGGTAGTGCAAAATAGTATGGGGCGGATTTTTACCTAACAGCGAAGACTGATAGGTTTCGAGTGGTGTCAAAAAGAGCATCTGATGACTCAGAAGGGAGGTCTGGGCGGCATCCGGACAGCGAGGGCCGGGCTCAGGGCCGGGCTCGTTTTAAGCAAACAGTCACACACTTCGTGCTCTTCGACCTCCCAGAACTCCATTCCCGGGCCACATTTTGAATGCCCGAAGCCAACTGTAGGCCACTTCGTGCTCTACGACTTCCCAGAACTCCATTCCCGGGCCACATTTTGGATGCTCGGAGCCAACTGTACGCCACATCGTGCTCTTCGACTTCCCAGAATTCCATTCCCGGGCCACATATTGGATGCTCGGAGCCAACTGTGACCACTTCGTGCTCTTCGAGTTCCCAGATCTCCATTCCCGGACGACATTTTGGATGCCCGGAGCCAACTATGTAGGCCACTTCGTGCTCTTCGACTTCCCAGAACTCCATTCCCGGGCCACATGTTTGAATGCTCGGAGCCAACTGTACGCCACATCGTGCTCTTCCACTTCCCAGACTTCCAAGACTCATCATCTTCATCATCATCATCATCATCAGCAGCATCATCATCGTCCCCGTAGCCTTCTTGGCTACAGCCCGTTGGAATCACATCCGTTGATAGCAGTGTCTTGTTTAGACCTCAATGCATTTATACAAGATCTCATTTGGAGATACCGTTATCGAAAGCAGTGTTTCTACTGCTACTACCACTGCTCCCATCATTCCTACTCGTTCACTCCACACACTACAACTACTACTTCACTGTTACCAATACTACCATCACTACTACTTCTATTGCTACTATTACTGTTACTATTACTGCTGCTGCTGTTGTTGTTGCTGCTGCTAGTGTAGCTATTGCTACTGCAACTACTGGCAGTGCCACTGCGACTGCCGCTGATGTTGCCACTGCGACTGCCACTGCGAATCCGAATGCGACTGCGAGAACACCAAAATTCTACAACAGCACTCTTACATGAATACCACAGGCAATGTTTCCAACTATGCTTCTACACATCGCTGTTAGGTTGCCTTGCCGGGATAATTCTTTCATTTTTGAGCATTTGTTCAACAGTTCTGGGGTATTGTTTACTTTCCACACAAAGTCCGCTTGTACGAGGACATGCCGGACAGTCAGGGAAGGGGACACAAGGAGGAGGGGGGGGGCAGATGATCAGGCGATCGCAGACACTGATCAAGGGCGCGTGGATTAGCGACATTTCCCGCTTCCATGGGCAACCGCGCACTACCACCGCCGAGCGAGGCGGCACCTGCAGCATTCTGGGGAGGGTACCTCCCCCGATCCGCTGATGTTTGGCGACCGCGCGCCAGATCCATGGATCGCTGATCCATGCTCGCGCGCCCCCGAAGCGGTTGGGTGGGGGAGGAGGGAGGGATTCGTTTTGGATTCCGACGCGGATCAGTTTGTGAGCCTGTAATAGCAGAGGCCGGCACGCTCAGGGTGTTGGTGCCACCAAGTTGGTGAGGAAGCAATTTTGGACGGGCGCCAATTCATCGGGGGCGGCAAAGTGGAGGGTAATGACTAGGGGTGGGTGAATATCATGGCTCTGGCCATGACATATCCCCAGATTTCATGACGCATTCTTGTTTCACTACGTCCCCGGACCCTCCCGGGGCCGCGCACATGCCGTTGGCCATGATTTGCGCCCCCTCCTCTTGGACACCCTCTCTTGGCCGCCCCCGGTGTAAGGCAATTTCAGCACAGCACGGATGGACCCCTGCCCGCATCAGGGAGGACGGGACGTGTCGAGCCGAAGCAAGGAGTCCGTCCCCCCCCTCCCAAGGGGGGAAGGGGCGGGGGGAAGGGAGGGGAGGGGGTTGTAGGGCGTGGATCGTGGTCGCACCGAGGGTATCCTGGATATCCGAGGAATGTTCTCCGCGCCGGCGATGGCAGGGTTGCCTCCTGATGCGGGGGCGCTGATGGCGCCAGGCAGTAGGCCATGCGAGCAAGAGCAAGGAGGAGAGCTATGTGTGAGGAGCAGCAGAAAGAGGAAAGGAAGGAACAGGTATGATCAGGAGGAGAAGAAGGAGGATGGAGACGGGAGAGTGGATGAGGAGAAAGAGAGAGAGAGAGAGAGAGAGAGAGAGAGAGAGAAAGAGAGAGAGAGAGACAGAGAGAGAGAACAAATAACAAACAAATATAATAATGGAATCGATGGAGGGATGATAAAAAAAAGGGGATCTACGGAGGGATGATTCGGAGGGTATGTGTGTATATATATATGTATGCGAAAGCCTCCGCCTTGATATTTTAAGGCGTTGGGAGCTTGTGGTGGGTCGTGGAGGTGTTCAGATGTTGTTGTCGCAAATGTTCCGAGGGAGCGGGGCAAGGAGAGGGGGCAGAAAGGGGGCCGGCGGCAGGCAGGACAAGGAGTAGGAGTAGGGTAACACATGAAGAGGATCGGGAAAGAGCTGTGGACGATGGAACGGATGATAAGAAGGATAGCCTGGCGAAGGACCCAACCATATGCAGTTGCGAATACCGCAATTGTGAATACCATCTTCGCCCGCACTCCCTATGTGGCCACGGCTTCCCGCCGGAGCCCGACATGCTCGGGAACACGTTCGTGGCCGTCATCACGGGCGCCGACGACGAGAAGGACGGCGTCCTTCTGACCGAGGAGCAAAGACAGGAGAGGGCTTTGAGAGCCATGAGGGAGGAGGTGTCGGTGCACATCGAGAAGGCGGAGTACGACGCCCAGGCGCGGTTGTTGAAGCAGCACAGCTATGGGGCCACGATCCCCGTGAGGAGTGTGTGCCGAAATGGCCCAGGGCCGCCATGGGAACCATGCCACTGAGGGCCTTCGGTGGAGCTCCCTATGGGGCCACGATCCTCGCGAGGGGTGCGCCGAAATGGCCCGAGGCCGCCGTGCGAACCCTGCCACTGGGGGCCTTCGGTGGAGCTCCCTATGGGGCCACGATCCGTGTGGGGGTGTGCCGAAATGGCCCGAGGCCGCCATGCGCACTTTGTTACTGGCGCCTTGTGGCCACGATCCTCGCGAGGGGTGTGCCGAAATGGCCCGAGGCCGCCGTGCGCACTTTGCTACTGGCGCCTTCGGCGAAGCTCCCTATGTGGCCACGATCCTCGTGAGGGGTGTACCGAAATGGCCCGAGGCCGCCGTGCGGATTTTGCTGATGGGGCCCTCGGTGGATCTGCTATGGGGCCACGGTCCTCGTGAGGGGTGTGCCGAAAATGCCCGAGACCGCAATGCGCACTTTGCTACTGGCGCCTTCGGTGGAGCTCCCATGGGGCCACGATCCTCGAGAGGGGTGTGCCGAAATTTCCCGGGGCTGCGTGCGCACTTTGCCCGTGGACTTCCGGTGGAGCTCCCTATGGGGCCACGATCCCCATGAGGGGTGTGCCGAAATGGCCCGGGGCCGCCATGCGCACTTTGCTATTGGCGCCTTCGGTTGAGTTTCTATGGGGCCACGATCCTCGTGAGGGGTGTGCCGAAATTGCCCGAGGCCGCCATGCGCACTTTGCTATTGGCGCCTTCGGTGGATCTGCTATGGGGCCACGGTCCTCGTGAGGGGTGTGCCGGAATGGCCCGAGGCCGCCATGCGCACTTTGCTACTGGCGCCTTCGGTGGGGCCCCTTATGGTGCCACGATCCTCGTGAGGGGTGTGCCGATTTGGCCCGAGGCCGCCATGCGCACTTTAGTATTGGCGCCTTCGGTGAAACTCCTATGGGGCCACGGTCCTCGTGAGGGGTGTGCCGAAATGGCCCGAGGCCGCCATGCGCACTTTGCTACTGGCGCCTTCGGTGGAGCTTCTCTGGGGCCACCATCCCCGTGAGGGTGGTGATGATGATGATGACGACGATGATGCGAAGAGGAGGGAGGGGGCAGCGGGAGATGGAAGGAACGCGGGGCGCTGTCTCTTCAAAGCGAGGACCCAACACCACAGGACGGTTAGGACAAATTGTCAGGACACGGAATGTGATAATGCCGCACCATTGCAGGATCATTTGGTATGCAGTGCTGTCAACAGGTCCATGTATATACGCAGGTGTATTCGGCATGCGCTATGGTATACGCAATATTGTAGATTTATATGTGCGTGCAGTTGTCGCCTTGGTCAGGGCAATATTCGTGCTAGTCTCGACGGCACTTGTAGGTGTTGGGATTCGTGTGGTTGTAGCCGTGTCAGCATTAGCATATTCTTGCGACTACGACTGCTACTTCTGCTGCTGCTTCTTCTTCTACTACTTGTTTTTCTTTTGCAGCGATTGAAATTCGTATTACTACTGCTACGACTGCTACGACTACTGTTATTACTACTACCACTACTACTACTACTACTACTACTACTACTACTACTACTACTACTACTACTACTACTATTACTACTACTAATACTACTACTACAGTAGCTACTACTACTACTACTAACCACTACTACCTACTACTACTACTACTACT